CCTTAAGTAAAAAGAAAAGAAAAAAAAATGTCGCCCACCTTATCGTATCAAGTGAGAGTTTTTCACTACCTCGTCTCGCATTTCCTGCGCAAATGGATAAAACTTTTAGGTACGACGCGGGGGAAAAATAACAGCGGCAGCAACAACAAAAGTATTATATGAAAAAAATAAATCTATCTATCTATCTATCTATCTATCTATCTATCTATCTATATCTATCTATGTCTGGTATCTATCTATCTATCTATGTCTGGTATCTCCCTCTCTCTCTATTTATCTATGTTTGGTATCTCTCTCTCTCTCTATGTATGTTTTGGTATCTCCCTCTATCTATCTATCTATCTATCTATGTCTGGTATCTCCCTCTCTCTCTATTTATCTATGTTTGGTATCTCTCTCTCTCTATCTCTTTGTATGTTTGGTATCTATCTATCTATCTATCTATCTATCTATCTATCTATCTATCTATCTATGTCTCTCCCTCTCTCTCTATTTATCTATGTTTGCATCTCTCTCTCTCTCTCTGTATGTTTTTATATCTATCTTCTATCTATCTATCTATCTATCTATCTATCTATCTATCTATATCTAGTATCTCCTCTCTCTCTATTTATCTATGTTTGGTATCTCTCTCTCTCTCTCTCTCTCTCTCTCTATGTATCTATCTATCTATCTATCTATCTATCTATCTATGTCTATCTCCCTCTCTCTATTTATCTATGTTTGGTATCTCTCTCTCTCTCTCTGTATGTTTGGTATCTATCTATCTATCTATCTATCTATCTATCTATCTATCTATCTATCTATGTCTGGTATCTCCCTCTCTCTCTATTTATCTATGTTTGGTATCTCTCTCTCTCTCTCTCTATGTATGTTTGGTATCTATTTCTATCTATCTATCTATCTATCTATCTATCTTTCTGGTATCTCCCTCTCTCTCTTTATCTCTCTCTCTCTCTCTCTCTATGTATGTTTGGTATCTATCTATCTATCTATCTATCTATCTATCTATCTATCTATGTCTGGTATCTCTCCTCTCTCTCTCTTTCTCTATGTTTTTGGTATCTCTCTCTCTCTCTCTATCTCTATCTATCTATCTATCTATCTTTTCCTTGTGTTCATATCTATCTATCTATCTATCTATCTATCTATCTATCTATGTCTGGTATCTCCCTCTCTCTCTATTTATCTATGTTTGGTATCTCTCTCTCTCTCTCTCTATGTATGTTTGGTATCTATCTATCTATCTATCTATCTATCTATCTATCTATCTATCTATCTATCTCTCTCTATTTATCTATGTTTGTATCTCCTCTCTCTCTCTCTTTATCTATCTTCTATCTATCTCTCTCTCTCTCTCTCCTCTCTCTCTATTTATCTATGTTTGGTATCTCTCTCTCTCTCTCTCTATGTATGTTTGGTATCTATCTATCTATCTATCTATCTATCTATCTATCTATCTATCTATCTATGTCTGGTATCTCCCTCTCTCTCTATTTATCTATGTTTGGTATCTCTCTCTCTCTCTCTCTCTCTATGTATGTTTGGTATCTATCTATCTATCTATCTATCTATCTATCTATCTATGTCTGGTATCTCCCTCTCTCTCTATTTATCTATGTTTGGTATCTCTCTCTCTCTCTCTCTATGTATGTTTGGTATCTCTCTATCTCTCTCTCTCTATCTATCTATCTATCTATGTTTCCCTCTCTCTCTATTTATCTATGTTTGGTATCTCTCTCTCTCTCTATCTCTCTCTCTATCTATGTTTTTCATCTATCTATCTATCTATCTATCTATCTCTCTATCTCTCCCCCTCTCTCTCTCTATTTATCTATGTTTGGTATCTCTCTCTCTCTCTCTCTCTCTCTATGTATGTTTGGTATCTATCTATCTATCTATCTATCTATCTATCTATCTATCTATCTATGTCTGGTATCTCCTCTCTCTCTATTTATCTATGTTTGGTATCTCCTCTCTCTCTCTATTTATGTATGTTTGGTATCTCTCTATCTCTCTCTCTATCTATGTCTGGTATCTCCCTCTCTCTCTATTTTCTATGTTTGGTATCTCTCTCTCTCTCTCTCTATGTATGTTTGGTATCTATCTATCTATCTATCTATCTATCTATGTCTGTCTATCTCCCTCTCTCTCTATTTATCTATGTTTGGTATCTCTCTCTCTCTCTCTCTATGTATGTTTTGGTATCTATCTATCTATCTATCTATCTATCTATCTATCTATCTATGTCTATCTATTTATCTATCTCTCTTCTCTCTCTGTGTTTTTGGTATCTATCTATCTCTATCTATCTATCTATCTATCTATCTATCTCTGGTCTCTCTCTCTATTTATCTATGTTTGGTATCTCTCTCTCTCTCTCTCTCTTTGTATGTATGTTTGGTATCTATCTATCTATCTATCTATCTATCTATCTATCTATCTATGTCTGGTATCTCCCTCTCTCTCTATTTATCTATGTTTGGTATCTCTCTCTCTCTCTCATATGTATTTCCATCTATCTATCTATCTATCTATCTATCTATCTATCTATGTCTGGTATCTCCCTCTCTCTCTATTTATCTATGTTTGGTATCTCTCTCTCTCTCTCTATGTATGTTTGGTATCTATCTATCTATCTATCTATCTATCTATCTATCTATCTATCTATCTTCCTTGTGTTCATATCCATCTATCTATCTCTCTCTCTATCTATCTATCTATCTATCTATCTATGTCTGTATCCCCCTCTCTCTATTTATCTATGTTTGTATCTCTCTCTTTCTCTCTCTATGTATCTATCTATCTATCTATCTATCTATCTATCTATCTATCTATCTATCTATGTCTGGTATCCCTCTCTCTCTATTTATCTATGTTTGGTATCTCTCTCTCTCTCTCTCTATGTATGTTTGGTATCTATCTATCTATCTATCTATCTATCTATCTATCTATCTATGTCTGGTATCTATCTCTCTATTTATCTATGTTTGTATCTCTCTCTCTCTCTCTATGTATGTTTTTCCTATCTATCTATCTATCTATCTTATCTATCTCATCTATCTATGTCTGGTATCTCCCTCTCTCTATTTATCTATGTTTGGTATCTCTCTCTCTCTCTCTCTATGTATGTTTTGGTATCTATCTATCTATCTATCTATCTATCTATCTATCTATCTATCTATCTATCTATGTCTGGTATCTCTCTTTATTTATCTATGTTTGGTAGTTATCTCTCTACCTATCTATGTCTGGTATCTCTCTCTCTCTCTATGTATGTTTGGTATCTATCTATCTATCTATCTATCTATCTATCTATCTATCTATCTATCTATCTATCTATCTATGTCTGGTCTCTCTCTCTCTCTCTCTATCTATCTATCTATCTATCTATCTATCTATCTATCTATCTATCTCTTTCCTTGTGTTCATATCTATCTATCTATCTATCTATCTATCTATCTATCTATCTACGAAGGTCGTTCAAAAAGTTCTAATCCCGACCCAGAAGGAGCCGGATAAACAAGACATTTTTTTCACTATTTGCCAATATATTCCCTCTTGGCATCAATGCACTTGGCCCAACGATGCTTAAGCATTGCAATCCCATCACAGAAGAAGATGGCATCCTGGTCCTCGAAAAACTCCTCCATAGCATATATGATCTCATCATTTTTTACCAAAATGGCGACCACACAGGTGAGATTTGAGTTTAGGAAACAGAGACAAGTCAAACGGAGCTATTTGGGATGTGAATGTGTTTCTACAGAATGATGCTGAGGTCACCATGGGCCTAACATGCGAACAACGCCGAAGTTTTAGAGAAAATGGAAACAAAAAGGACACTTATTCTTAGCATCAAAAAGAGACTGCTGAATTTTCTAGGGCGCATAACAAAGAAAAAACGCTTGGAAAACTAGACAGTCACAGGACATTGAAAATCAGAGGGACGGAAGAAAGTAACGAATAACTTTCCAAACTAGCTTGTGTAAATTGTTCGTAGAACAGGGATTAAGCGAAATAGGAAAAAGACAAAATTTATTAAGAGATACAAGGATAGAAAATAGTAGCTTGTACACGACCTGAAGGAACATAGAATATCAATGTATATATGTATATATAGTCTCAAGTCCTTGATACTAAAGCATCGACTTCGGTTGTCACCTCGTCAGAATGGATGACAGCCGCATTCCAAAGCAATTGTTTTATGGTGAGCTGCGAACAGGAAAGAGAAATGCCGTCAAACATAAGATGAGCTTTAAGGACTGCATCAAGGATGGGCTGAAGAAATGCAACATTCCTTGTGAGCACTGGGAAGAATGTGCATCTGATCACAATGTTTGGAATGAGGCTGTTAGAAGTGGAAGGCGTAACTTTGAAGATGAGAAGAGGAGGCACGTAAAGCTTAAAAGAGATGTGCGTAAAGGCGTCCCCGTTGAGCTTGCTGAAGACACCCGCAGGAAGCTCGATCTAACGTGTACAAATTGTGGTAAAGTGTGTTTGTCGATGGCTGGTCTAAGGAGTCACTTGGGGGCGCACCAGCGGAAAGTGACAATTGAATTAAAATCGTAGACGTCCAGCAACTGAAATGTGTTATTTATGGTAAGACATGCGGGTCCAGAAGAGGTTTCATGTGGCATTTTAAATTGCATGATAATGTAGCAACCGCTGATGGACCTCTTAAGTGCCCTGTTTGTACCGGAGAATATATGTCCCTTGCTGGGCTAAAGAGCCACATTCGTTCAGCACATCAGTAGATTTTCACCAAAAAGATATCTAGTAATGGCCAACCACTATGTATGTATGTACACGTGGCCGAGTGGTTAGAACGTTCGCATTCTGACTATGAGACCCGGGTTTGAATCTCACTGTGGTCAATTTGTCAGGAAGAAGGTCTGGAAGGGTCAACCCCAGCGTACGTCACCTTTGAAAACCATACCACTGGTTGACCCAAGCCTTGTAAACGGAACCCTTGCTGGGCTAGCACTAAGTCATCGTGGCCTTTTTCAAATTGTGGATTACGCTAGATAGCACGCGCTTTCCCAGAAACTGTAACTGCTCAGTATATTTGCAATATAATGGGTGTTGAATAAATAAGAGGGGGTATCCTCGAATACCAGTGGCCAGCTATACTTATCTATTTATATATCTTACGATTTATGGAAATTACAACCCCCCCCCAAAAAAAAACAACAAAAAACACACTTAATACTCATTGTGCGTTGGTTCAATCAAACTTATATTCAGGTTTTTATTATTTATTTTAATTATCATGACGTTTCTGTCCCTCTACTCTCGACTTCTTCAGATATCTTTTTTCTTCCCATTTGTTTCTTTGAAGAAAAAAAAGATCCATCGGAAGCGAAAGATTATACAAAAAAGACGCGGGAATTCGTTTTAGTAAATCTTCATAATTCATTTTACGAAATCTAAACCAATACAAGGCTCAAAAGCCACTCAAGGTAGAGAGTTAGTGAATGAGGTGTGTGATATGAACGCAAGAGGAAAATGTGTGAAGTGAAGATTACGAGGATATGGCAAATAGTTGACGACTGATCCTAGACTTGAAGAGGTTATAGTGTTCGCGGGAGTCTCAACCACAAAATAGCGGTTCTTGGGAATATGCTTTTGGAATGGAGAGTCCTTTTTACCTTTTCTGAGTTAGTAACACTGAAAAATGGGGTTCGTCTGGTCATTTGCTATGAAAATAGCGACAAGCTTGCGACGTTGCGACTTTTGGCCTGTAGGGAAAAAAATAAGTCATCATCCACGGGGCCGCGTAATCTGAATTTAAAGTTGAGGATAGAGCAATGGGCAGGAAATTAGCCTGCAGTACGCCTCAATTTTGCATATAAGAGATTTTTGAGAAAATGCGTCTTATATGACATCAACTGCATCAACGGCATATAATCTTAAAATTAATTTAGCAATAATCGAAAGGAAGCGGTACAATTTTAGTTTTCACAATATCTTAGTTTTGGAGTCAAAATACTGTTCTCTCTTATGTAGAGTTATGGTTAACAAGCTTTTTTAACGCGTTCGATTCCAGCTGGCTGTTCATACTTATAAAATTCCTGCTGCCTTATCTGGTATCTCGACTTTAATCACTTTCCCATCGCCGTGATGTGGCTTCCCTCTGTCTTTTCTATAAATATTTTTCATAGCAATTGTTCTGGTGGGCTTTTCCCATTGCTACCTCGACTGCATGAAACTAAGTGTACTACTAAATTGGTAACTAGGTCTCACCATTTTCCTGTTGAACTAACTTGATATAACTGTATGCTCTATTCTAATAGGCTTTTCTCACACTTCTTACATGCGGAGATCTCTTCTGTTTTTTTTTGTTTTTTTTTTACTTTCCTGCCACCTATAATCTTCAAAAATTTAGATGTAACATCAGTCACCATGTTCTGTCTTTTAAAACCTGTTCTTTTATTCTCCTTTCTCCGTATAAAAGTCTCGTTCTCTTTCAGTTCCATTAACCCATTTCGTCTTAGTGGCATTATTGCCTTCCTTGGGGTGAAATGATTAAAACAAACTGATTAATCATTTTTAATGACTCTCTTACCATGGAGTAATCGCTATTAAAATAATCTCACAGATTGTTATTACGATAATCATTTTGAATCTCACTGGATGTCTACTCTGGAAGCCTCATCCCAAGAAGGTTAGTTATTGCCTATTTTTAAAAATAAAAGACCCCGGCGAAAATTTGGTTTTAGTCACATGTCGTGAAGTTTCTATATAATTGCCGTAACGCAAATGTTAGTGAGCTAGTCTTTCTAATGATTGTCAGAGTTCGAACCTCACTGGGTCTGCTACATTTTTATTATTATTGTTCATACGATACAAGTCTCAAGAGAAAATAAAGGTAGAGTTTTACTTGTAGAGGAAAATTGTGTGAAAAGCGAAGAAAAGAAATAATCATCAAACGCAGTTCTACAAATTTAAATAATTTTATTACTATATTTATTTATTTATTTATTATTATTATTATTATTATTATTATTATTATAGTATAAAAATAATCTTTTTTTTATTTTACGTTGAAAGAAACAAGTTTTAAACTTCCTTGCAAACAAAGTTTAACGAAAAATGTTTTGTTTTTCTTTTTATAAAACAAAAGAAACGACTTGTGTTGGTATTGGGTAAAAAAGTATATATGAATTAATTATGAGAAAATTTACGATTTACGTTATCTTATGTAGGTGTATGATGTGATTCCAACAACAAGCACGCTGTCCGCCGATAATATTAGTGATATTACAACTTTGACGATTACGCTTTGTTTATATATATCGCTCGGGTATTTTTCGTATGATGAACTCAGACAGAAATGAGAAATTGAGACAGAAATGATGATCTAAGTGCGACTTTTCCTATCGAGTTTCGGCCATATCACGTTTATACACCGGTTCCCGTACGATCACCGACATTAAACAACGTTGAGACTAGTCAGTACATAGGCGGGTTACCTCTTCGGAATACCAGGTGCTGCAAACTTGGGAGTGTGGGAGGTGGAACAGATAATGGCTTGGAATTGTTAAACAGAGCAAACTTCCAATTCCCGTTCACTTACGCGCAAATACCCTTGTTAAAGATATGAATCCACCTTTACTCCCCCAGCTATGGGTTAATTAGTAAGATTTTTGTCACTAAACTATTTTTTATCTTCCCCCAAATTCTTACAAATGAAAACAATTTTCTGGCTTTAAATAACCTGGAAAGGGTTAATAAGCCGTAGAAAACGAATCAATCAACAATATATATATATATATATATATATATATATATATGCAAACATCATCACATTGACATGTTTTATAAATACTTACTATTTCTTTTTTATTTTTATCATTTCATGATACTTAAATTCTTCCATTGCTACCAATGTATTATTTGTTTCAGGTTATCTTCCCCTCTGCTGAAAAGATTCACATACATGTCCTTAATGTTTACTCCCGGGATAATCTTCCAAATGACCAGGGAATTGTCTCTCGAGTTCCATGTCTACTCTTTCATGTGCTTTCTTCTTTCGTTACTAAACTCTGTTAGCTATCTCTTTTTCCTTTATCGTTCCCTTTCTCCCCAGGATTGCAGTATATTAGATATAATAGTGACGGTATAGAAAAGGCACTTTATCTTCATTCATCTACGTAAATGTTTTAAGCATTTCACCCCAAACAAGGCGGGAGTGCCACTAGCACGCAAGGGTTTACAGAGGGTACAGAACAAGAGTAAAGAGGCGTGTTCGGGGAGAGGATAAAGAGAAGGACGAGGAACAAGATCAAGGTATCAGAAGATGTCGATTGACATTACACTTGAATATTTGAAGATTATAGTTATCAGGGAAGCGAGGAAGAGAATTCCAAAGACAGGAAGTGCGAGAGAAGAAGCTGTTCGAGTAGAAGAGATGACTATATTTTACCGTTCTGACAGTGAAAGGGTGGGACCGAGATGCCAATCTAGCAGCTCGCTTAAATTCATGCAGTCTGGGAACCAGTGAAAGCAACACATCGAAACAGTTGCTGTGAAAATACTTATAGAAGAGACAGATGGAAGTCACAGAACGTCTGTGAGAAAGCAACTAGACTAGATGCCAGATCAGGACTTATCACATTGCATATCCGTCTCTGATTTTGTCAAGGATCTCGAGACTTACAGCGGAGACACCAGACCATATATGACAGCAATATTCCATGCAAAAACGGATGGTTGATTTAGAGATTTGAAGGAGGAGAAAAACTTTCTAGCACGACACAGAAAACCAACTTTCCTTGCAGTAGATGAAGCTATTGATTCAATGTAGTTATTCCACCACATGTCGAGTTGGGCATCAGCCATTCTGATAGGAGGCAGGGAGGGTTCTCTGTGGTGGGTAAATGAGTGCAATTTCGTTTTGGAAGCATTAAAGTTTACAAGCCATTTCCCGCCCCCAGTCATCCACATATTTGAGGTCATTTTCGAGACCGGCGTCCAGGTTAGTTTAGACAACGAAATCAGATTTACCATCGAGGCAGGAGTAAATAGTAGTGACGTCTGCGTTATTGAATATCAGGACCAGTGTAGGATCCAAGATAGAGACTTGGGTAACAATGGCGTTCGTGATAAAGGAGCTGGCGGAGAACCCGTTTCAGATGGCTTTCATTTCACGGTTTGACAGGAATGACTGTATTAAGTCAAGCAATCCTCCTGTAATGTTGTATCCCTGAAGCTTTGTATTCGGTGACTTTAATGCTCACCATGACACGTGGCTGAAACATTCTAAAATTACTGTTACCGGTATTCAGATATTAGATTTTTCCGGTGCCTAATTCCTTACTCAAATCGTGGGCTTCCCTACTCATTTCCCTAGTAAAATCGAGTCACAGGCTTCTTTACTTGGTTTATTTCTCACCTTCTCTCCTCACTCTTGTCGAGCTTCACAACATTGTCATCTTGGTAACTCAGACCACTCTGAGGTATCTATAGATATTTCATTCCAACCATCAATTAACAAGAAATCCATAAGACCTCTTTCCGTTACCAGCATGCTGATTGGGACTCTGAGATTTTCTATCTGACGCACCTTGGACTGACATCTTTATTCTCCCAATTGAAAGTTGCGCCACTGAGGTTTTTTCCTGTGTCAAAGCCGACATGGGCGCTTTCATCCCTTCTCAGAAATAGCAGGTGAAACCACAATCCTCACCATGGTTCACACCAGCATTCCCGGCCTCTATAGCACACAGGGACCACTATTTTCGGCTATACCAGCGTCACAGCTCTCATCACAACAGGGGCTTATTCGTTACTGCTCGTAATGAATGTAAGTCCCTGATTGCCGAGAGAATTGTAATAGGACATTAAATAAGAGCAAGGTCTCTATTCCTCCCCTCTTCGATAGTTTTGAAGTGTTATAATCCTCTGTTGATAAAGCTGAATTCTTTGGCCGTATATTCTCCTCAAACTTTACTCTTGGCCCTAATTTCCCACTTAGAACTGAATCTCAGTTGAGTGATATGCATATAACCCCTGTCATGATTTATGCTATCATTTCTAACCTAGATTCCCACGAAGCATGAAGACCCGATGGTATCCTTGTATTAGTCAATAAAAAGTGTTCTCCCAAAATGGCTCCTGTTCTCTCTAAACTGTATAATAAATGCCTCCTGCTTTTTCGCCTGTTGGAAGTCATTATCTGTTGTTTCAGTTTTCAAGAACTCTGGTGAACCGTCTGACTCTTCCAACTATTGGCCTATGGGACTTTTAACTATTTTTGGAAAATTCCTAGAGTTTCTAATCAATGCTGAATATATCTTTCGTTTCTCCAGGTCAACTGCTGATGTAGTGCCAATCATTGCGGAAAGAGTCCATTATGCTTGAGATAAAAACGCTGATGCCTGGGCTGTAGCTTCGGACATCTCGAAGGTCTTTGACAGTGTTTGACATTCAGGTCTTTTCCGCTAGCTGGGAAGTTACGGTGTCTCCGGACACATTTTTGAACTGATCCAGTCTTTCCTATCACATCCGGAAATGAATGTTATCCTGAACGGCCACTCGTCTACATCCTTTCATACTACCGCGGGTGTCCCCACCCCAGGGCTGCATCATTTGTCCTACTCTTTATTTAATTTTCATTAATGACATTCCTGATGACATCAGCTGTCAACTTGGTATCTACACTGATAAATTTGCTCTTGCAATCCGTCGTTAACTGGGTTGTTTTTTTTGTTTTTTGCAAAAAATGGCTTGTTTTTTTTTCAACGCCTCCAATTTAAACTTCTCTCCATAAATCATCTGAGAGACTCCTCTCTGCCTTCCATCACTACGGCTGATGCTAACCTCCAGAAAAGTGACTCGTTGCACCTTCTCGGGTGAACGTTCTCAGCTGACATGAAGTGGAAAGCCTATATTGAATCCATTGCTAGGTCAGCTGCCAAGTAAGTCGGATCACTGTGTCGTGCGAGACAATTTTTCTCTCCAGAGTCTATCTTACATATCTGTAAGTCTACCATTCCTCCGTGCTTAGAATATTGCTGCCACATATGGCCCGGTGCTCCTGCTATTTACTTTGAGCTTCTTGATGAGATCTAAAGAAGAACCAAGATTATTATTGGTTCTGATCTGGTGGCTCAGCTTTAGTCACTTTCCAACCGCGGTAAGGTTGCCTCTCTGTGTCTTTTCTATAAATACTTTCATCGTAATTGTTCGGATCAGCTCTTCGTCATGGTACCTAGACTTCATAAATTTAAGCGCAGTACTAGACTGGCATCAAGATCTCATCAATTGTCAGTTGAGCTGGCTAGAGGTAGCCGTAAGTTCTATGCTAACTGTTTCTTTTTCTCGCAATTTTCATTTGTGGTACTCCCTTCCGACTTCATGCTTTCCAGCCAACATTAATCTGCAAACAATTAAATGCAATGTTAATCGCTATTTACTGTCCACTTGGTTACTCTCTTCTCTTTCTGCTCATTATTAATGTTTCTGTTCCTAATTCTTCTACACTCATCGTGTCTTAGTGGCTTTACTGCCTTGCTTGGGTTGATACCAATTAAAAAAATATATCGTTCGATAATTTTCTATCCAGACAACCTTTGATGAAAAGATTTTTTATATGTATTACTAGCCGCTATACAAAGCTGGTCGATCAGAAAAAGCGTTCAATTAGAATGGAGCAAAACCAGCATCATGTTTAGATATAAGAGTCTATCTTCTTCAATTACTTTAAAATACTTTCAGTAAAAGAACATTTTGAATTGATGCAGTTACAGATATAACAGAAGTAGTCTATATTTATTCAATCGAAGTTAGCCGAGGACATGAAGGGGTAAAACAAGCAACATGAAGACCCACTTCAGACCACAATTATTTTGGGGTTTTTACGTTCAATTTTTTGCTACCAGAGATGTAAAAGAGGATACATTTATAAAGCAATTGTTAAGTTTGATGAAAATTGGTGGAAAGGTCAGGGAAAAATAAGAAATAAACCAGTAAAGATCACCATTTTTCGCTATCTACGCGGGTTTTCACTATATGGGTGAACTCAATTATCAAGTTAAATGACTGTTAAAGAATCAAATTATTGTTGGCTACAATTGAGCGAAGTTTGTATTAGATTGCTTGAAAACTGAAATTTTAGTTTAAAATTTCCGTTGTGTTGAGATCGATTTTTCGTTTTTCGTGGTTTGTCGCTAAACGCATTATCTAAGTAACCTACATACCGAGTTTGAACGAAAACGGAGGAATAAAGTTGAATTTATCGATTTTTGATCGGTTTCATCAATTATTGATTTTTTTTAAATTATCGATTTTTAATGCCGAGAACCTATCTCTTACATGGTACAATGTATGTGCCAAGTTTGGTCAAAATCGGTTGGATGGATCTCGAGTGAAAAGATATTACACTGATAGACAGACAGACATCCTCTGTTTTATATATAGTGATTTATTTATCGGAAAAAGCGGGGAAAAAGAACACAAAGAGAAAGCAACTATGGTAGGGGTTAGCAATAAGAAAT